ATGATCTCCACCATGGTAGCAAACCGCAGCAGCGTGTTGCTGTCGCGAACGAGGTGGAGGTACCAGGATGGGCGGTGGCGCGTGGGGCACAGGCTGGGCTGGCCCAGCAGCAGGCCGTAGGCGTCAAACACCTCAAACGCCCTGCGGGGCAGCCGCCAAGGCGTGGGGCACGGCTGGGACCCAACACACCTGGATGCCTGGCACGGCAGCGGCCCCCACGCTGCGTGCACCACCGCCATGCGAGCGAGCGCGCCCCAGCGGGCTGCCACAGCCGGTGCAGCTGCCCCGCTGTGCGCGCTGCGTGCCCCCCGCACCTGTTGATTGAGCAGGTGTCCAGCACCACGTCATCGTCCGCCACCATGACCGCCCGCCTGCCCGCGGCCAGGCGAGGCCAGGCGGGGTGCTGCGTCAGCTGCCACACCAGCATCCACTTGGGCCCCGCCATGCGCAGCACCGCGGCGCAGGCGGGGCAGTCCAGGGTGGTGTCGTTGCCGTAGTGCAGCAGCACAACATCAAAGGTGGCGGAGCCGGGCTGGCTCATCCACCTGCGGGGCGGTGTGTGGTGTGTGGAGTGGGGGCAAGCAGAGGCAGGCAGGGAGCTGAGGAGGCACAGGTGGTGCGGCCAGCAGCAAGCTGTTGGGCTCCCCGCCGCTGCTGGCGCTCCACCCACCCATGGACCTGTCCCCCCCGTCTGCCCGCCCACCCACCCGTTCACAGTGTCCCAGTTGTTGCCCACGGCGGCAATGACGAGGAAGTCACGGCTGATGGTCTCGTCAGGCTGCCGCAGCTGGCAGGCATCCTGGGCCGGCCGCACGCCCCTCCTGGCTGGGAGCCCGTGCCCAGCTTGCGGCGCCCAGCGCTGGCGGTCCTCCTCAAACGGCTGCCAGCGCAGCTGCAGGGCCCTGCCGGGCTGCTCCCGCGCAAGCAGCACCTCCTCAGCCGCCGCGCGCAGGCACTCGGCATCGCAGCGGCGCATGCCCGCCGGCGCCACCACGTCTGCCACGCCTTCCGCTGCCGAGGCCTCCTCGGGGCCTGGCGCGGCCGCCGCCGCCGTGGACGCGTTGGCAGCAGCCCTGGCGGCCCGCGCCTCCTGTAGCCGGGTGCTGGTCAGGCGGCTGGCGTTGCTGTTGAAGAAGCTGCCCAGCCAGCGCTGCATGTCGACGTGCGCCTGCGCCTCCACCAGCCTGCCGGCACGCTGCTGCGGGGGCGCGAGCGGGTGCTGGAACTGGCTCGGGGATGCCTGCTGGGCCAGATCAGAGCAGCGGTCTTGGCAGTCGGCCGTGAACCCTGGCTGATCACTGGCCTTCTGGGAAGCTGCTACCTGCTCACGCCCGGTTGCTGCTGCCTCAGATGGCGTCCGCTCGCTGAACGCTGCGCCTGCGCCTGTTTGCGCCGCCGCCGATCCCGCGTCCGTCAGCGGCAGCTGGACTGCAAGCTGGGCGGCAAGCACCTGCCTCTGAGCAGCATCCAAGGCCAGCAGCAGCAGCAGGAGGGTGGAGCAGCCCGCTGCTGGCCTCCGCATTCTGAGGGGCCGCGTCCTGGGCTGCTGCTCACGGCCTGTGCCCCCGCACAACAGTGCTCTTGGCGCGGCAGGTTCGCAGGGAAGCTCTTAGAGCCCAGTTGGTGCACGCCCGCATGATGTGCATCAGCCCTGCCCGCATGAGCAAAGGTGGAAAGTGGCGGCTGACAAGGTTGGATCCGTCTAAATTCAATTGACCAGTTTGATGCCCAATGAATAGAACTCAAAAGTGGCCAACGCCTTGATGCTACAATGTGTCATGTGCGCCCGTCAACGTGTTCCGTGACAAAAACGCCCGACGGCAGGCCCACTCGGGCACTGTCCAACACCAGCACTGCGCCACGGCACTCCGCCTTGTGCCCCGCTTTCCAGTGCTTGCGCTGGCATGCCGGGCTGCAATACAGCACCAGCCGGCAATTGGCGCAGCGCTTGAGCTTCGGGGCGTCCTGCCCCGCCACAGCGCCGCAAAAGGCGCAGACGCGCTGCTGCTTCTCCTCCCGCTTGAGCGCTCGCCTTGCCTCATCGCTGCCGCCTGCTGCAGCATCTATTGCAGAACGCCCGTCCTGATCGGTAAAGTGAGTGCCCGCTCCCTTCAAGCCAGGGCGGCAGCAGCGGCAGGACGCTGTGGAGCAAACAGCGCGGCATGCAACGAGCTCTCAAGCAAAGCCGCCCATCCCGCCAGCTGCCTGCCCCACCAGGCGGATGAGGGTCAGCGCTGTCTCCAGGTGCTCCGGGGTGCAGAAGTGCAGTGGTCGCCGGCCGAAATGGGCAATCGCATTGAGGTCAGCGCCGCGGCTGGCCAGCAGGTGCACCATGGCTGCATTCCACAGAGAGTGTGCAAAGACGAGGTAAGCAGGGTCAAGGGGCTGTCATCCAGCAGCGACCAGCCAGCAGCCCAGCCTCACCTGTGTGGCCGTGCTCTGCAGCCAGGTGCAGCGGCGTCTTTTGAACAAATGCAGCTGCACGGTGATTGGTTGGCACCGAATCCACGCTGCCCTCCACTGAGGCGCCTACACAATGTGTCGCGCAGGGGGGAGGGTTGCATGGGTGGCACGATCACTGCAGGATGCCCCTCCCCTCCTCCATGATAGGCCTCGGGTAGCCGCACACCCCACATGCTGCTCATCATTGTTGCCCACCTGCATCCAGCAGCACCTCTGCTGGGCCAACAGCTCCAGATTCAGCTGCATAGTGCAGTGGTGTCCACGCCCCTGGGCCAGCATGCGCCTCCTTGTCAGCACCCGCAGCCAGCAGGCGGGCAGTGAGTGAGCGGTGGCTGCACTTAGCAGCCAGATGCAGGGCGGTATGCCCACGGTCTTCGGCACGGTCAACAGACGCCCCCGCCGCCAGCAGAAGCTCTGCTACCCCAGCGCGGCCATTCTTTGCCGCAATGAGCAGCGGGGTCTGCAGATGCAGGGGGCAGGTGGTAGTGGAGGCTGGGCGGGTGGAGCAAACAAGCAGGCCTGGCCTGGCGCTGCGTGTTAGACCACACACCTGCTCGTATTGGTCCACCGCCTCAACATCTGCGCCTGCAGCCAGCAGTGCGCGCACCACCCCCTCGTCACCGCTGCGGCAGCCCTCGTGCAGGGCTGTCCATCCGCGGGCGTCCTGCCAGCGGATGTTGGCTCCTGGTTTTAAAAAGAAGGAGAACAATAGTTACTAGGAACTAATTGACTCAGGATGTCCGGCTGGTCCAATGTTTTTCCAACTTTGAAACGTTCAGAACTAACCCTTGGCCAGCAGCTGCCTGACGATCTCTGAGCTGCCGCTTCTGGCGGCAGCCAGCAATGGTGTAGACTCAGAATCATCTGCCGCATCAACAGTGACACCCCTCTGAGCCAGCAGCGCCGCGACAATTGCGCTGTGTCCTGCCTCGGCTGCCATCCTGCAGGAGGGGCGGAGTGGGGGGCAGTGAGCGACATGTCAGCCTTGCCCGCAGAAGCAAGGGGCAGGCAGGTGTGAGGAAGACTGACCAGATCGGCGTCTGCAGCCATTGATCCCGCATGTCTGCATTGGCTCCTCGCTTGAGCAGCAGCTGCAGCGCCTTGAGGTTGTTCTTCCCCGCAGCCTGCGGCCACCAACGGGAGGAGCGACACGGTGTTCAGCGCCGCGCTCAGCATGTGTGAAAGCAAGGCAGCAAAGGATGGCCCACCAGAAAGAGCGCTGTCTGCCCCGCCCGATTCTTGGCATCCACCGCAGCGCCCGCCGCCAGCAGCTTCTCCATGACCGCCAGGCGCCCGTGCTGGGCAGCCGACATGAGCGCTGTTATGCCGTCCACGTCGGCAGCATCCACAGCGGCCCCCGCCTGCAGGGAGCAGAGAAGTCAGCAGCGTCGGCTCAGTCGCTGTTCACGAATTTGACCAGCTGGCAGGCTGACAAGCTGCCGGCCTCCCAAGCAGCTGCCTCACCTGCACTAGAGCGGTAACCACGTGGACGTGCCCACAAATGGCTGCATCCATGAGCGGCGTGTTGCTGCGGCAGTCCCGCGAGTCCACTGCAGCACCGCCACGCTCCAGCAGCAGCTTTACGATGGGCACAGAGCCGGTGCGGGCAGCGCGCGCCAGCGGCGACATGCCCAGGTGGTCTGCCAGGTTAGCATCGGCGCCTGCCGCCAGCAGGGCGGCCACCGCGTTTCGGTGCCCCAGGCCGCAGGTTGTGACGAGAGCGGTGCGGCACTGAGTAGGCCCCCCATTGATCTCCGCCCCGGCCTCCAGCAGCGGCTGCAGCGCCGCCTCACACTTGTCCAGGCTAGCCGCGACAGTGAGCGGCCGCTCGCCATGCTGGTTGACTGTGTTAGGGTTGGCCCCTGCCGCCAGCAGCGCCAGGATCACGGCGCGCTTTCCTGACACGACGGCAAGTGGATGGGCGCATTGCCGCCCGCGCCTGCCTGGTTGGGATCCTCCCCTGCCGCGAGCAGCTCCTGCACCTGGCGCGCGTTGCCTGCCTCGGCGGCAATCGCCAGTTTGCTCCGTGGCACCACGATGGCCTGCATGGCAGCGGCCAGCTCTTCCTGCGGCCAGGCGGGGGCGCACTCTTCCTGCGGCCAGGAGCGCACTAGGGCCGGGTGAGCGGCTGGCGGTGAGCGGCGGTGAGCGCTCAGAAGAACGCCGCACCCGGCGAACGGCAGCTTACCTCGGCCCTGGGTGTCTTGCCTCTGCCCATCCCGCCCCTGCTGCACTCCCCGCAGCGCCGAGGAGACGAAGAGGCGCGATCGCGCGCCTGTCGGTTCCAAATTAAATCGGCCTAATTGTGCGGGGACAAATGTGAAGCAACAGAAGATGGGATGGGAGTTCTTGGTCCAGAGGCATGTACTGCTTGTGCCGCCGCCGCCGGCGGCAGCAGCACAACCGCTCATTGCTGCCGCTTCTGAAAATGTATCCTGCTGCATTTACAGGTGCCTGACCAATGGACCTTTGGATTTTGCTAGTATACGAGGGAGAAGGCAGCTTAGCGGCCTGCTACAAATCCAGTCACCCGTGCCGCTGTCTGCAGCCTCACACCCCTCCGTTGGCCAGCAGCGCATTGTACCGCTGGCCGCGCCGCCTGCGCATCTGCTGCCGCAGGCGCAGGCACACGACCGCACCACAACCAAAGACAATGAGGCACGATTGGCCGAAGAGCAGCAGCGGAAACAGCGGCCCCAGACGCAGCTGGAGCGCTTTGCTGGACGTCTCGAGGAGGCCCTCCTGCCGCACCGGCTTGGCCACCGCCCCTAGCACCTCCACAGCCTGGAACCAGAAGCCCCGCCTGGCAATCTCAGAGTCGAAGTAGCCTGCAGGGTTGCATTGGTGTCCAAGCTGCCTGAAGCTGGCGCGAGGAAGTGCCTGGCACAAGGGCGCCTGCCACCGGCCTCATCAGAAGGGCCTGAAGTCACTGCTGCATGGCAGGCTCCCCCCTGCCACACACTCACCATACTCGGCAAACCGGCGCGCCTCCTCTTCCTTCTTGAAGTACGGCGCCTCTGCCTGGTACACGCTGCCGCCCTTGTTGGGCGCATAGGGGTGCACCACGCAGACCTGCAAAACAGGGCAAGGCGGAGCCAGGTGGCAGCGGACACCACAGGTGGAGGCGGCTGCAGCAGTGGAGGCGGCTGCAGCACTGGCCCCGCCCCATCCGAGGCCTCACCTCATCCACCACAGCTATCTTGTCACGCGGGTACTTCAGCAGAAAAGGCCACACAAAGTCCAGACCTGCACGAGGGGAGCGGATGGGAACGGAATGCCCCACACCAGGGTACCTCAATGCACGGTGCCGAGCTGAAGGGTCGACATGCGCCCGTCACGCACTCACCCCAACCGACGTGTGCGTTGTAGAGTGTGGGCCTGACGAAGCTGTCGAAAAACTCCATCCTGCAAGCACAGCCAGCAGCAGGCAGGCACTGCAATCAAGAAATCAAGCGAGGCTGCCTCATGAGCTGATCGGCCCTCTCAGCCCGCTGGCAGCAGCTACGGAACTGGAACACGGGCGCCATGATCTCGATGAATGCTGCATCGTACGAGGGGGCACCAGCCAGGTCAACTCGTGACATCCAACATCTGGGCGCGGCTGGGATCCACAACAATGAAGCAGCGGCGCTGCCACGCCGCCGCTCACTTGTGAAGCGCAAAATGTTTGCGGAGCTTTGGTACAGCGCTGCCCACGGCGTGTAGCTCCAGATCAGCGGGCACAGGCTGGGCTGCACCACGGTGAACAGCAGCAGAGCGCACCTTGAGCAGCAGCAGCAGCAGCAGCTGGTTGTGGCAGGAGCGGCTCAGTTTAGGCAGCAGGCGCGCCCGGGGGACCCCTGTTCTGTGGCGCTTGCCTGAGCCATGAGAAGGTCGTAGGCCACCAAGACAGAGAAGAGCTTGTTGATGGTGCAGGTGTCCATCTGCGGGGTGGCAGGCGCACAAGGGTGTGCGGGAGGGCAGCAGGCACGGCCGTGTGGCGCAGCCGCTACGGTCGTGGCAGGCTGGGTCGAGTGCAGTGGAGACAGTAAAGACAGCAGGTGTCCAGCCACTGACTGACCAGCAGGTCGTCGTCTGGCAGCAGGATGGCCTTGTAGCGCTGGCGGTACGCCTGCCACTCCTCAAGCAGCGTGAAGCGGTACGTCAGCCGCCACTTGGGCCCGTTGGCCGCGTACACCGCCTTGCACAGGGAGCAGTTGAAGGTGCCGGGGCTGCTGCCGTAGTACAGGACCACTGCAGGCGTGTGTCAGGGGATACAGGGGTGCGTGGCTTCACTCTGTGGCCTCTGTACAGGGGGCGGACCTACAGCAACGCCCACACCCACCCAGGTCCCAGTTGGCCATGTGGGGGCGGTCCAGCAGCTTGGAGGCGTTGAAGTTGTCGCCGGCGGGCAGGACCACCAGATAGCCGTGCGGGACGGGGCTGCGCGATGGGGAAGGTGGGCAGGCCGGCAGGCAGGCCGGCAGGCAACAGGGCATGCTGAGAGGCAAGGGTCTGCCACGCCGGGTGAGGCAGCAGTGAGAAGGCGAACGGGCTGCGGCTGGCCCCTCAGTAGATATAGCTCGCCACACTGCCAGCAGTCGGCAGCAGCAGCCCCCGCCGCCCACTCACAAGCGCCGCCGGTCTATGCCGCAGCTGTCGCGCTCCTGCTGGCCAATCAGGCGCTCCAGCAGGCTGACGTTGTCGTGCGGCGCAAGGTCCTGGGCTGCGTGCTTTTCATGCTGTGCCTGCTGAGCCCAGAACCTGCGGGGAGGGACGAGGAGGGAGCAGAGTTGGCCTGCGCTCGTGCCAGACAGCATGCAGGCGAGCCAGCGGACTATACTCCACTCACTTTTCCGTCCATGCTTCAATGGCCTTGTGAGCGTTCTCAGGGGACTGCTCCTGGGGCGGCTGCGGCAGCTCAGGGAACTTGGTCTGGCTAGGGCTGGTGGGGGCTGGCTCTGCAGGGACGCCTGATCTCAAGAGGAGGGGAGGTCTCAGCTGGTAGCCGGCGGCTCCGGCGCCTTGCAGGTGCCTGCTGCCCTCCCCGCAGAATGCTCACCAAGGAGACGAACTGTGGTTCACAGCACCCTTGTGGCAGCGATCGAGGGGGGAGGAAAGCCTCACCTGGGTCCATGAGGTGCACAGTGCGTAAAACGCGGGCGGCGGCATCAGCGCCGGCCGCTGGCGCCGACACCGCCACCAGCACCAGCAGGGCTGGCAGCAGGGTGGGCGCTGGCATCCAGGGCCGGGGTCCTGGTGGCTGTCGAGGTGGCTGTCGAGCACGAGGGAGCGAGGAGGCCGACTAGGCGTCACTCCTGCCCTGGTGCCAGAATCGCCTCCTGCCACGTGAGGGAGGGAGGGTGCGAGCACGGGAGGCAGATGTGCGATCCAAGGCTGCTGTGCGATCCAAGGCTGCTATGACAGGATGCGGCGCTCGCCTGGCGCTCGCCTGGCGCCGCCCGACATCAAACTGATGTTTCATGGCATGATTCATGCGTCTGAGATTTGCCTTGCAGTTCCAATAATTGGCCTGAAGCGTGGGTGGAATGCCGATGGATTTCACTGAACAAAAGTAAGGCTAGCAATCATATGCAGGGCGGCGGCGGCGCCGCCGCCGTCATGCGCTGCCACTCGTGCGCGGTGGGCGAGGCGGTGCGCAGGCGCGCCAGCCACCGCTGCTTCTGCTGCATCGCGCGCTCCACGGGCTCCCGCTGCGAGGCGGGTATGCGCGCATCCTTGCCGTCCAGCTGGCTGGTGGAGGTGGCCCGCGGCATGCCGCCGCCGCCGCCGCCTGCCACCGCGTAGGCAGACTGCGCGCGCTTCAGGCCGCCCTGCCCCGCCTCTGCCCCGCCCCGGCCACCCCGGCTCAGCTGCTGCAGCAGCTGCTGGTCGGCAGGCAGGCTGTGCACGGGCGGGAGGCGAGGCAGCTGGATCGGCGCGCCGCCCGCCGCCCACTGTGCCGCCTGCCGCCCCGCCGTCGCACTCCTGCCACCGCCCGGCCCGCTGAGGCCGGCCTCCTCGCTGCCGCTGTCGCTGTCGCTGTCGCACCCGCTCAGCCGCTCCTCCACCACCTCCTGCCCCCCCAGGTCGCCAAACCCATCCACCGCAGGCTGCCACTGCCGCGCGGCCGTGGGGCGCTGCGCCGCCAAGGGCGCCCGGTCCTCAATGCGTGGCGAGCCCGGTGGCAGCTGTCGTCCCGCCAGCTCAAGGTAGCTGCGGTCCTGCAGCCCGGCTGCGGTACCAATGATGCGCAGCTGAGACCTCAGCCTGGTCACAGCCTCATCCTCATCCTCATCCTGCTCGGCGCCTTCGGCCGTGCTCCTCAAGCCCGGCTGCGCGCCTGCGGGCTTGCCGTTGGCCCTGGCGCCGCCTCCCGCCTGGTCCCGCACCGCCTGCATGTCAAAGTCGAGCGCCTGGCCTGCTGCAGCCACAGGCGCGCGGCCGGCAGACAGCCGGGCCCGCATCTTTGGCAGCCCTGCACACCCAGAAGCCAGGGCCGCGTGGGGAGGCAGGTGAGGGCCAATACACCACATGGCAGGGCTGCGAGGTGGTGTGCGCTGTTCAGACAGGCACGCAAAGCAAGCAGGCGCGGCCAGCAGGTGTGCCCGTCCCTGCACCGCCTGCTGCCGGCACTCACTGGGGCTTGGCGCGGGCGCGCCGCCGCCGCCGCCTGCCGCGCCGCCCGCCTGCCGCAGGTCTCCCTCTGAGTAGGCCAGGGCCGCCAGTGCCAGCAGCTCGCGGCCCCGCTCCGTCTTGCTGCAGCGCATGTGCCACATGCAGCGCGGCGCGTGTTGGGGACGGCGGCGGGCCCTGCCAGGCGGCCGGCCGCACCAGGCAACCGCCGCCTTGCAGGCTGCGCCATGCAAGGAGGCCCCCCCGGAAGCCCCGGCTCGCCTTAGGGTGTGGCGCAGCTGCACCGGGCTGGACAGCTCAGCAGAGTGCATGGGGTCCAGCTCAGCGCTCAGCCAGGGGTGCTGCAGCACCTGCGCACATAGACACACGCACGCACACGCATGCACAGGGCCTCAGGCAGGCAGGCCTTGCTTCCTACAGCAGCAGCCAACACGCCACTCGCCTCCAGGCAAGGCGGGGAGCGAGGGGCAAGGCTGCCCCACGGCAGCTGCCCCAGTGGCGCTGCACCACCCACCGCTGCATACGCGGCTGCCGGCCCGCCCACCTGCTCCGCGGTGAGGCGCTGCTGCGGGTCCTGCTGCAGCAGGCTGCGCACCAGGTCCTTGGCATCCTCCGACACGCCGCTCCACAGCTGCAGGCGGGGCGGCACGGCAGCGGCAGCGGCAGGAGCGGGGCGCCATCGAGAAGGCCTTCAGCAGGGCGCCTCCCTCCGCACCCCCGGCCGGGCGCTGTGCAAGGGCTTGGTGTTGGTTTCGTGTGCCCCAGAGGGAGGCAGGCAAGGGCAGGCGCCTGCGCCAATGCCAGCCTGGCCGGCGTACCTGAGGATCCATGCAGTACCGTCCCGCCTCAATGGCCTCCGCGATGGCCTCCTGGTTCTTGCCATCAAACGGCATGCGCCCCCTGCACACACGCCGCCAAAGCCGTCGCAGGAGGGTTTGGGACTAGGCGGGCACGCCGGTGGGCAGGTCACCGCCCAAGCCTGCATGCCACACACCACCACCAAAGATCCCCGCAACAGCCTGCACTCCGGGCCCAAGGCTGCCAGCAAAAGCCCAGGCCGCCTGTCCCAGGCTGCGTGCTCACGTGAGCAGGATGAAGAGGATCACCCCCAGGCTCCACATGTCCACAGCCAGAGAGTAGCGCCGGTGCTGCACAATCTCGGGTGCCCTGCACGGCACACACACACACAGAGGCGCACGCACGCGGCAGGCGGCGGCGCGTGAGGCATCCGCTGCCGGACCCGTGCCCAGGCAGCACACCGGCGGGCGAGGCAAGCCGGCGACGGCGGCCCCGCTGCGCCCCGGCACCCCCCTGCCACTGCCGGTGCGGCGCACATGTAGTGGATGGTGCCGCAGGGTGTGGCCCCCTCCCAGTCTGGCGCGTAGTTGACCCTGGCCAGGTCATAGTCCATGATCTTGACCTGCAGGCAGGTGTGTGTGTGGGGTGTGTGCGTGTGTGTGAGTATGTGTGTCTGTGTGCGTGTGTCGTGGTGGCACACCACGGGGCTGGGGCAGGCGGCCGAGGGCCGCGCGCCTGGGCGCAGGCGGTGGCCTTGCGCCCCCAACCCGCACCCCAGGGGCAGCCCGCATGCCGCGCGCGCCCGCCTGCCTGCCGATTCCCTCCAGCCCCTCACCTGCGCGCCCTCGTCCGCCGACACGTACATGAGGTTCTGCGGCTTGAGGTCGCGGTGCGCGATGCCCAGCGCGTGCAGGTGCGCCACCCCCTCTGCCACCTGTCGGAAGATGGCGCGCGCGTCGTGCTCCCGCAGCTGCGGCGAGGTGGCGATGTGGTCAAACAGCTCGCCGCCTGCGCGTGGGGCAGGGCGGCGGGAGGCCAGGGGGCGCGCGGGGCGGGTGGGCGAGGCGCGCGGGGCAGCTGCCCGGCTGGCCAACTGCGCTGCCACCTGCCGCCTCCTCAGCAGCCAGGCCGCCTCCATGCAGCCGGCCCACTTTCTTCCAGCCCCACCCACCCTCCATCAGGTCCATCACCAGCTCGATGCTGCCGTCCTCATCGAAAAAGTAGTCGTGCAGGCGGGGGATGGCGGGGTGCCTGCAGATGGCGGCAGCAGCAGGAGCAGGAGCAGGCGCCGGCGCCGTCGGCGCGGCGCGCTCGGCGCGCATCCCCTAGCTCGGCGCCGGCAGCGGGCATGCCGCGGTGGCCGGCCGCCTGGTTTGGCTGCCGCCGTGCCGCCCGCGCTCACGGCTTCTTGGCGCAGATCTGCAGGATGCGCAGCTCGTTGTGCATGGCCTCGGTGGCGCCTCGGCTCTTGTGCAGGCGGCTCTTGAGGGCGTACCGCTGCCCGTTGTACCGCCCCACGCACTCGCACACGGTGCAGGTGGCGCCGTGGCCCCAGGCCGCGCCCAGTTCGTAGTAGTCAGGCACGCGCCTGCGCAAGCGCCAGGGCAGGGGCGGGGGGCGCACCGCGGCAGAGTCGGCGGCATGGCGCGGCGCAGCGGCGAGGGGCCGCCGCACAAGTGCAATGCCGCTGCAAGCGGCGGTGGGCCCCGTGGCGGCGAGCCATGCAAGCCCCGCGCCCGCCCTGCCCACCTGAACAGGCCGGGCACGGCTGCCAGCCCCACCATCCACTCCTGCGCCTGCTGCTCATCTGGCATGCCCAGCGACACGACGGCGCCGCCGCCGGCGGGCGTCAGACCCAGCTCCTGCTTCCTCTCCATCCGCAGGTGCGCCCCCACCAGCTCCCACTTGCACTGGGGCGCCACCCCGGGGCCAGGGGCCTCGCCCGCCCCCCCGTAGAACTGCAGCGTGTGCCCCGCCAGCTCACACCAGCCGTCGCTCCACGCGCCCCAGGTGCCCGTCCGCATCCTGCGGCGGCGCAATGTCGCAGGCTAGCAGTTGGTTCCTGCTCTCTTCCGTTCCCCCCCTAGTGCACCAACCACCTCCCGCTCCCCACCACCACACCCGCGCGTGCCTGCATGGCCCCTGCCGCCGCTCCGCCACCGCCTTGCTGGGGCGCTGCTCGCGGCGGAAGCGGTGCTCGCGCTCAAAGAAGGATGCAGGGATGGCGCTGGGGTGCCGCGCCTTCTCGCTCAGCTTCTTGTTGAGCTTGTGGTGGGTGGCAGCGGCCGCGTCAGCGCCGCCATTCGCCTGCGTCGCACAGGCAGAGCTGCGCCTGGGAGGCGGAAGCCAAAGGAGCGGGCGGTGGCGGCGGCGGGGGTGGCGGCACTCACCTGGGCCTCCTGCTTGGAGGGTGCGCAGCCCATGATGTGCGTCCACGCCTCACAGGCGGCTCAACAGCCCGCCAACCCAGTGCATGTTGTGTCGGAGCGATGGGCTTCGGCAGTGCCGGCGCTCTGTCTGCCCGCAATGAAATGGCAACTTGCTCGATGCCCCTGTGCTGCACGCTGCTCCTGAAAGTGCTGCTGCTGCATTGCACGCCGCCTTTCCTGGCCCATCCCCCCAGCTGTTTGAAGACCATGCTGCGGCACACGCATTACGCCTGATCAACCGCATATTCTTCAAGCGGCAAGGTAACAGCCCTAACAACGGGCGAAACCATGAGTTCGTGCGCCTGCTCCCTTGCCGGCTGGCGAGGAGCGCCGCTGCGGCCCGGGGCGAGCCATGGGGCATCCAGAAGGAGGCACCTGGCCGTCGTGCCGTTTGCAAAGCAGCAGGTGAGCCACTGTTGGTGGGCCGCCCAGCGAGCGCCGCCGCCCGCCCCTTACCGCCCCTCTTGTTGCCCTACCCGCCGCGCAGCACAGAATTCAACTGCATGTGAATGCCTGATCACTATGCTCCCCCATTGCCTTGAGCCATGCCTGCTGCTTGGTCCTGTTAAACAGGTGTCGGCGGCCGTGGTGCCACCACAGCCGCCGCCGCCATCCGCCGCCCGGGGCCCACCCCCCTGGGCTGTTGGAGCGGGCATGGTGGCTGTTGCCGCTGCGGCCATCAAGGTGGCATGGGCCAACCGCGGGCAACGGCGCGCCGCGCAGGACCCCGCCCTGGCGCAGCCTGCAGCAGCAGCAGCAGCGGCGGCGGCGGCGGCGGCGGGCGCCTCGCCCGCCGAGGCGGCCAGGGCAGCCGTGCGGCAGGCTGGGCAGCACCTGGCAGCCTCCAACGGCTCGGGCTCGGAGCAGGCGGCAGAGGCGGTGGCGCCGCTGCTGCTGGCGGCGGAGACGGGGGGCGCGGCGGAAGAGACGGCCAGCCTGTCTCTGGAGCAGCTGCAGAAGATGGCCACAGAGCTCTACATGCTCATCCAGCAGGTGTGCCCCCTGGCCCTGGGCCCCCGCCTGTGCCGGGCCCACCCCCTGGGGAGGGCAGATGCCAGGGCGTGCCAGGGGGTGCCGGGGCTTTGCAGGCTACTTGATGGTTGCGGGCCTTGTGCTGCTAGCCCTCCCTCTGCCAGCCCTCCCTCTTGCCCTGCCGGCCCGGCCTTCCACCCTTCCCGGCCCCTGCCCTGCCTGCGCTGCGTGGCGTGGCGCAGATGGAGCTGCAGCTGCAGGAGATGGTGGGCGAGATGGCCGAGCTGCTGCCGGAGGACACGCAGCGGCAGCTGGGACGACCTGGCGCAGCAGATGGAGGAGGTGGAGGAGCGGCTGGCCTCGCTCAAGGTGCGGCAGGGGTGGGCAGGGGAGGGCAGGGGTGGGCAGGGGGAGGGCGGGTGCTTGTGTGGTGTAACATACATGAGACCGTGTGTGGCTTGAAGGGGCCGGCGCCCTCGACTGGGCTGGGCTGCCCCAGGAAAAGGCGGGATGGTCGCCTGGGCAAAGGCGGGATGGTCGCCTGGTGGCTGGGTAAGGGTTCGCTCTCCCCGCGCCACTCTGCAGGGCAGGAGATTGGCCTGCCCAGCGCAGGCAGCCCCCCATGCCAGCCGGTGCGCGCTGCCGCCGACGGTGTGCCGCCTGCCCCGGTCCTGCACTGCCTGCAGGGGCGCGAGGATGCGGAGGGGCGTGTGATGGCTGCGGAGAAGGCGTACAGCGACCTGCAGTGGCGGCTGTTTGAGCTGGTGACCGCGGGGGCGGCGGAGCGGCAGCGCCGCGCCCTGCGCTCCCTGCTCTTCAACCTCACCACCCAGCGCCAGCTGCTGCGGCAGGTGGAGCAGCAGGAGGCCCTGAGGCTGCGCATGAGGGATGTGGAGCAGAGGATCGCGTCCCTGCTGGCAGAGGAGCAGCAGCAGCCCGCAGCGGCGGCGGCGCAGGCGGCGGCGCCGCCGCCGCGCGGCCAGGATTGGGCCGAGCCGCCGGCGGCTGCCGTGCAGCGCCGGACCGCGCTGCCGCCGCGGCTGATGGGCAGGACGGCGGCGGAGGGATCGCCTGGCGAGCTGCGGCTGCTGGCGGCGGGCGCCAGCATACCTCACGACGACAAGGTGGCCACCGGGGGCGAGGACGCTTTCTTCCTCAGCAGCTACGGCCTGGGCGCCTTTGGCGTGGCAGACGGCGTGGGCGGCTGGGCGCTGGAGGGAATTGACCCCGCCCTCTACCCCCGCCGCCTCATGGCTGCCTGCGAGGAGTTCTTGCAGGAGCAGCGGCAGCGGCAGCAGCCCGGCGCAGCAGCAGCAGCAGCAGCAGGAGCCGAGGCGGAGGAGTGGGACGGCCCCTTCCCCGCCCTCACGGTACTGGAGGGTGGCTACCGCCGCACCGAGGAACCCGGCAGTACCACCGCCATCCTGGCGGTGCTGGCGCCGGGCGGCCTGCTCAGCGTGGCACACCTGGGCGACTGCGAGCTGAAGGTGGTGCGCCAAGGAGCCGTCACATTCGCCACAGAGGTGAGGGCTGGCAGGCAGGGAGGCCCTGCCTCATCTGCCCATACCGACGCCCCCCACCATCACCCCCCACCGCACACACGTGCACACACGTGCACACCCACACACCCACACCTGCACCTGGCCGCAGGTGCTGGAGCACCAGTGGAACATGCCTCTGCAGCTCAGCTCCGCCTCCTTCTACGACTGCGGCAGCCGCCCCGACGATGCTGATGTGCACGAGGTGGAGCTGGCGGCGGGGGACGTGGTGGTGGCGGGCAGCGACGGGCTGTGGGACAACCTGTGGGAGGAGCAGCTGCTGCAGGCGGTGGCGGCTGCACAGGAGCAGCAGGCAAGCCCCGGCCCTGCCCTCTTGCTGCCCTGTGCCGTGTCCTTGCTCCACTGGCCGCTGCTGGCAGCCCAGGGCAACTGAAGTGCGTGTGTCTCATGCCCCACGCTTGCCCCTGCCTGCCTGCCTGCGTAGCGCAACGGCGCCGACGCGCTGGATGTGGCTGAGCAGCTGGCGCTGCTGCTGGCGCGGGCGGCCCACCGCCAGTCTGTCGATCCCACCTTCCGCTCTCCGTTTGCGGTGGAGCGGGCGCGGCGGGCGGCGGCGGGCGAGGCGGGCGGCATGCTGTTGCCCGACATTGGAGGCAAGCAGGACGACGTGACTGTGGTGGTCGCGGTGGTGGCGGGCGAGTGAGCAGCCAGCAGGTGCCAGACGGTTGGGCGGGGCATTGCAGCATCCCGTGATTGCATGCCGCCCATTCTTCATGTCCTGCTGGCCTGCTCTGTGGTTGGACCCATTGTAGCTGCTCGAAACACTTCTTGTGAGGACACACCCAGCAGCACTAGGGCCTCGCTGTGTGCTGTCTCCGGTGCGCGGCGGCAACCACAGCGGCGGCAGGAGGTGCCAGGCGGGCACCGCCCAAGCATTCTTGCTGGCCCCCCTACCGGTTCCTGGGTAGCTTGTGTGCTTCGTCCCGGTGCACCGTGAGCCCGCCAGAGGTGAGGCAGCGCTGAAGAGGTGGCATGGAACGAAGTGTACGGTGGTCTCTGCGGGCGCTCCCAGGCCCTGGACCAGCAGGCCAAGGCTCAACCCAAGCGCTTGGCTGGGAGGCAGGCTGCATATACCGTGGTGGGCCGGCCGCCAGCCTGGCGCAGATAATACCCCGAGCTGGTTTGGTCATGGCCGGTAATCCTGTTGGCCATCGCTCGGCCGCCCTTTGTTCAGCTTCTCCCCCCCACATCATGCAAGTATGGCTGCTGCGGGCGGTCTCCACCATAGTAATCTGTATTGCAGGGGGTTTCCGCCGGATTGCAGCGAGGGGGAGCTCCTGCAGCTGTTTGGCACCCATGGGGAGATAGTGAGCCTGCGGATGGTGGCTGGAGGGGATGGCCAGACGAGCGCCGCCCCACACGCCTTCGTCAAGTATGCACTGCCCGATCAGGTGAGCCCTTGGCGCCCTTGAAGGGCGGGGGAAACAGAAGCCTGGGCGCTGCGCTTGGCTGGTGCGCCCAGCGCAAAATATCCCGCATCGGGCGCCGCCCAGTGGCTGCTGGCTGCCAGGGGAGGGCCCCCACACACTCACACGGCACGGCCGGCCGTGCGAGCGCCAAATCTCGGCGCCTGGGCTGGGCGGTCAGGGCGGCAGCTGCTGGCGGGTGGGAAGCTGCCGCAGCCGGGGCCGGGGGTGTTGGCTCCAGGGCGGAGCCCTAGTAACGTTTTTGAGGCATCCACAGCCCTGGATGAAGAAAATCGGCTACTGGAAGCCCAGGCAGCTCCTGTGTGGACGGGGAAAGCGCTAGGATAAGCTGTAGCGCCGCAGTGCCCGCTCTCCTCTCTGACCAGTCCTGCACCCCTGCCCTTATGCAGGCAACCGCGGCGATACAAGCACTCAATGGCGCCACCATCAGCGGCTGCCAGCTAGTGGTCAAGTTTGCAGATGCAGACGTGCAGCCACGAGTGGAGTCTGGCCGTCAGCCATCAGAGTGGTGGTGCGTGCCCCGCTGCCACACGCATGGCGTTCTTTAGCTGCGGGGCCGGCTCTGCACATTACCCAAGGCCGCTGGGTCGTATAATGGGTTTAATGTTAGCGCACACCTGGGTGACTGCCCTGCAGCTACTGCCGCAACCTCCCCGCCAACTACGCGCGGCAGGATGTGGGCGAGATGTTCCTGCCATTTGGCACCGTGCTGGAGATCCGGCTGTGAGTCTGGTTGTGGCGCCGACCTGCCTGCTGTGGCGGGCGTCCCTCCCGTCGACCGCGCTCCTGCCTATCCTTCCCTGAAATCCCGGCTGCCGCCCCTGTCGCCCTGCCGCCCGCTGCAGGTTCCCCAGCACCGAGCTGTACAAGGGCAGCGGCGCCCTGGTGCAGCTGCAGAGCGTGGAGCAGGCTTCGGCCGCCATCCACGCGCTCAACGGCAGCTTCCCGCGCGGCGCCCAGCAGCCGCTGCTGGTCCGCTATGCAGACAGCCCAGGTGGGGCCCTGTGCAGCAGGGGTGTGTGTGCAGCAGCAGCCAGCGCGCAGCAGGCGGCGCTGTGCACGACCGGGGCAGGGTTGTGACTGGAGTGACAAGCGTAGCCATCAACCAAGGGTGCACCTGTGCGGCTTCCGCTGACACTGCTGCTGCTGCTGCTGCTGTGCCACGTGCAGCGGAGAAGGCGGCCAAGCAGGCGCGCAAGGAGCGGCTGCTGCAGAAGCAATCCTCGGGGCCCAACCTGTTTGGCAGCGGCAACCTGCTGACGGCGCAGCTGCAGCAGCAGCTGCTTGGCTTGGTGAGCTGCGTCTGTGCCAGCGACGGGCTGCCTAGTGGCCTCTCCAGGCACCAGCACCCAATGCCGTAGCCCTTCCCGTCGCTGACCTTGTGCACCCCTGCCCCCCGCACCTGCTCGCAGGCCATCGGCGGCTCGGGCCGTGGCCTGTCCATGCCTGGCGGTGGCCTGGCTGGCAGCCCCGACCTGTCTGGTGACGTGCCATCCATGCTGAGCCTGGACAGCTTCCAGGACGGCAGCCTGGCGCCCGCCGCCAGCGCGGTGCTGCAGCAGCAGGCGGCGCTGGCGGCGCAGGGGGGCTCCACCACCGGAGCCTCCATCTACATCAAGGGCATGCCCGAGGATGCAGACAAGCTGTGGCTGTACGAGAAGTTTGCCAGGTGGGGTGGCGTGCTGGCGCTGAGCTGGAGGCAGCCGGCCAGGCACTCCCTTGATGCCCACAAACCCGCTCACAGCATCGCTGCTGCTGCGTCCCCCACACAGCGCCTCATATGCCTGCCCCCCCCTGCGTCCCGGCCTTTATCCACCCGCAGATTTGGCGGCATTGCCAGCGTGCGTGTGCTGATCGATGAGCAGAGCGGCAAGTGCAACGGTGAGCAGGCATGCGGGCAGCGGTGCAGCTGCATGCAGCATCTGGAGGCACAGGGCAGCGCCCTGCTCGGCAGTCCACTGCCCACATGGCTGTGTGCGCATGTGCTCGCCCGCCGCCCTCTCCCTGCCTGCCCTCCTGCCCTCCCTCTCGCCTCACCTTGCGTGCTCCTGTGTGCCCACGCTGCGCCGCAGGCATCGGCTTTGTCAACTACGTGACTGGCGAGGCGGCGCGGCTGGCCCAGGAGTCCATGAACGGCGTCAGCATGGGCGACCGCCTGCTGCACGTCATGGTGCAGAACCCGGCCTCGCGCACCCGCCCCGCGCCAGCTGCGGGGGCCCCAGCGGGCGCGCTGCCTCCCGCCTCGCTGCCGTCGCTGGCCAACTCCGCGCCAGGCGGCCTGTCGCCGGCGCGCCAGGCGCCTATGTCTGCCATGCACGCCGCGGCAGCCAACCTGGGCTTCAACACCAGCGCGCTGGCCAGCCTGCAGGCGGGCCTCATGCCATCGGCCACAAACGGCATGCCGCTGCCGCACATGCCCAACGGACTGCCGCTCTCCATGGCCCACACCGGCTATCCCGGCATGGCCGGCCAGCCAGCCGGCGCCTCCTTTGGCACGCTGCAATGGTGAGCAGCCACCTCCCCCCAAAACGTAACCCGCTTTCTCCCCTTCCCCGTCGAATTCTTTCCTTGTGCTGGCGGCGCCTGCGAGCACCCATGCAAGTGCCGCACCGCTGCCTGCCCAGCGCGCCAGTTCTCTGGTGTCATGTGTCTGTACCAGCCTGTCTAGTACACACTGGCCTGACTTGGATTTTATGGCTCGCTGCCGTTACAAGTTACTGGCAGCGCTGTCGTGTATGCTGTGCTTCGCTCGACAGCCCGTCACACCTCAGAAGTTCCCTTCGAACGATAACATACCATGCCAATTGAATCTTCGCACACAGACATGTTGTGTGTCTGTCCTTCTTTGTTGCCTGGCCAACTCACTCCCCGCTGTGCCAACTCTTTTGGCGCCGCACCTCTGCCGATTTTACTACACACCGCCCCACCGAACCGATCTTTACCTCTCACCCTTTCCCACCCGCACGTCGACCACTTCCTAATGTCCCCAATGTCTCGAATTTCTTTGAAGATTGCTTTGGTACAACACACCTGTATCGCATGACGCATGCTCTTTTTTCCACTCCCTTTGCGGCACCGCACCCCTTTCCATCTCTGGCGGCTCTGCCGCAAAATCCCCAGCCTCTTCACCAAGCGCTTGTCTTGTGCAGAAGCTGTCCCTGTTCCTAACAATCCCACACCCTCGAATTCTACGCCTGCCCATATCATCATCACAGCTGCAGCAGTACCTATCCATTTTCGAGTGTTGGGATGCTGCCTTCCTCCACCTGGTTAGCTCTCTGATCCAACACTCTGTGCTGAACGAAATGCTCAATCGTATGCTGCCGATTGTTTGTGTCCTCTCGAGCAGGCTCCTTTGTTGTTGCCGCCAGAGTTCCTTCTTGCTGTATTTATTCCTCGGATTCAGCGCGCACAGTTTTTTCGCATTTTACTAGTGCAACACAGCCCGCTAATACCCTCAGTCGTGCAGGGTGCCAGGCACGGTGTAGCCAGGCCTGTGCACACGATCGTATGGATGCTCCCGCGGGGAAAGCGGGCGCAGGTCGGACAGAGCCGGCGGCTGCTGCGCCTCCTGGGTGGTGGATTCCACGCCGGGCAGCTCTGGCAACGGCTCTGTGTCATGCCCATGCGCCTGCAGCTCGCCTGCGAGAATCACCCATGACGCCCACGTCAGCGTTCAAACTCAGCACACACATTGTGTCCTCTGCCAACCCCTGCGTGGCTTACTCTGCATGTGCGCCTGCGCCGCGGCCTCAGCTTGGTCTGCCGGCAGCGGCCTGAACTCCAGGTGCAGATGCACAAAGCCCTGCTTCAGGCCCGAAGGGTGCGCCGTCAGCGGCACCGCCAGCTCTGCACTCCCCCAGTTCAGCACATCATATACTGCATCGGTACAGGTGGGGCTGGGGTAGTGCAGTGCTGGAGTGCGACTCGCACGCGCCTCGAGTTGCTCCTCAACCAACCAGCTGCCACTCACCTGCTGCCACTCACCGGGGGCCCTGCCATAGCCAATCAAGTCGTCCGGCGAAGCCCTGTTTTGATTGAATACCTTGACCAGCAGCGCCTCAGGGTCGGCCACCACAGGCAGCGCCAGCGTCTCCTCCCACACCGGCTCGGTGCCGCCCTTCATGGCTGTCTTGGTGGCGGCGGACACGGCCTGGCCACCCGTGAAGGACACGATGCAGTAAGGGTCCTGGTCGCCAAACTGCTCGCAATCTGCAAGCGCCAGCGGGCGGGTGCACAGGTGTAGACCTGTTCTCGGTGGATCAGACTGTAACCCTCCCACAGGCAAGCAAGGCGTGTCGTCGGCGGAAGGGCAAACCAGCCGCTATTGCCCGCGGGCGGGCTACCTTGGAGGCCCGAGGCGGCGTGCACCGTGACCCTCAGCTCGCCCGTGGTGGCTGCCATTGGTGTGTGGCCGACTAGAGGCTGACGGGCCAGCGGCACAGGAGGGCCAGGGGCGCGGCCAAGGAGGGGCAGCGACGGCAGAGCGGAGCCTGTGTCAGCGGGCCTTGGAGAGCGGCGGGCAACCCTGCGAAGCTTGGATGAATCCAGGCCTGCATCACACGACGCCACAGCGCAGCTCTACGCTCCATTTGGCGAGCGTGAGCTGGCGCTCGGGGTCGTTCTCGCAGAGACTACAGCCATCGCTACTCCTGATCAGCATTCGACCTCTACTTCAACCAAACTATCCAGTGGCAAGCGGAAGAAGTGCAGCGCCAACCTCCCCTCAATCGCCGAGGGGGACCCAGCTACAAGCCGAGGCCCGGCCACCGCTTGGCAACTGATGAGCTCTCGCTGATAGCAGGTGAGGCGAAGGCTGCTCTCTGGCGTGCCACTGCCGGGTCCCGCTTGATCGAGCTGCCCAGGCCTTTGTAGCGGGCTGGGTTGGCTGCCGTGCGCTGCCTGCACGACTGCTGGTGCCCCCGACCTGCCGCGCACACTGCTGCCCTGCGCTGCAGGCGGCGAGGGGCGGAGGTGAGCGATGGGCAGCCCACACGAGCGCTCCCGGCGTGATGACCGGGAGCACAAGCACAAGAGCAGCCGGGACAGAGACCGGTCCCGATCCAGGGACCGCCGGCGCAGCGGGCGAGACGACAAGGAGCGGCGGCGGCGGTCACGCTCCCGCTCCCGCTCCCGCAGCAGGGACAGGCACCAAAAGCGCGACCGTAGCGCGGAGCGAGATGCCAGCCGCAAGCGCAGCAGGTGGGTGGGTCGCTTACAGAGCGTGGGGCCTGGCAGATGGCAGGACAATGACACGGCAGAGCTTTGCCCTGCGGATCGTTGCCAACCACTGCGTTTTGATCTGCCTTGTGGTGCAGGCCCGAGGAGAGCTTGCCTTCAGCTGAGGCATCCGGCCAGCCGGCCCAGCAATTTGTGCAGCAGGCGCAGCCGATGATGGCAGCACCCGCGCAGCTGGGCGCCATGCCGGCGTCAACTCTGGAGGCGGCTCGGCTGCAGGCGCTGGCGGGGCACGATGCGGAGGAGCAGCGGCGGCGGGAGCGTGAGGCGGAGCAGGTCAAGCTGGATGCGGAGATGGAGAAGCGGCGGAAGCGCATCCAGGCCTGGCAGGAGCAGCGGCGCAAGGAGGAGGAGGCGGCGGCGGCGGCGGAGGCGGCAGCCAAGGCGGCGGCGCAGCCTGACGCTGCGGAGGCGGGGGCGGCCGCAAAGCAGAAGGCTTGGACGCTGGAGGATGAGTCGTCGGATGAGGACGAGGGGCAGGCTGGGGTTGCAGCTGCTGCCGACGGCGACGGCGATGTGGAGATGCCAGATGCCGGCGGCGCGGCGGCTCCGCCTGCGCCGGCACCAGCGGCGGCGGCTGCAGAGGAGGAGGAGGAGGTGGATCCGCTAGATGCCTTCATGCAGGCCAATGTGCTGCCAGCCGTGAAGCAGCAGGAGGCATCAGCGGCAGCACCAGCGGCGGCTGCAGAGGAGGAGGAGGAGGTGGATCCTCTGGATGCCTTCATGCAAAGCAATGTGCTGCCGGCAGTGCAGCAGCAGGACACGGGCGCGTCGGCAGAGCCAGGGGCTGCAGCGAAGCAGGACGCCGGCGGCAAGGCGGCTGCGCCTGCGCCCGTGGCAGCCGCAGCAGCTCCAGCAGCAGCCAATGGCGAGGCCAGCAGCCAGCCGGCGCGGCCGCGGCGGCGCTCGAGATACGACACCGACTCATCGGGTGCGGCCTTGCCTTACCTGCCTTCCTGCCTGCCTGGGCAGCCTGCTCCTTCACTTGCACTGTGTCATTTCTCTTGTCTGTCTTCTTGGATTGGTTGGTGCCTGGCTGGGGCTGTGGGGGCCCGTCATCAGCTGGCGCCCCTGGGGCAGTCGCTTGCCCGCTGCTGTGCTTTCCCGTCGTCGCTTGGGCGCTGCACCCAGAGTTGCTGCTTGCCGACCTGGCCCTGCCTGCCTGCCTGCCTGCCTGCCTGCCTGCGACGATGTGCGTGCAGAGGAGGAGCCGGATTCTTCGGCCGAGGAGGAGGAGGAGAGTGAGGATGAGGCGGAGTGGATGCGCAAGCTGATTGCGGGCAAGCTGTCCAAGGGGGAGAAGCTGGTGGCGGTGGACCATGCGGCCATACAGTACCCGCCCTTCAGGTGTGCAGCGCTGTTGGGGTGGGGAGGCGACGCCTGGCAGTGTTGGCTGTGTGTGTGTGTGCGTGTGTGTGTGTGGTTGTGTGGGGCGGTTTCGGGGCGGAGGCGCAGGGCAGGTGCATGGGATGGCGAGGGAGCGGCGCTGCAGGCCGCTGCCCGCGCCGCCGCAGCTCACGCGACCCCGCCGCGCGCTCGCTGCCGCCGCTGGCTGTGAGCCGCGTGCCGCGTCCTGCCCCCCTTGGGCTCCCCTCAGGCGCAACTTCTACATCGAGGTGCCTGAGCTGGCGCGCATGAGCGGGGAGGAGGTGGAGGAGTACCGCAAGCAGCTGGACGGCGTCAAGGTGCGCGGCAAGGACGTGCCCAAGCCCGTCAGGAACTGGAACCAGGTGGGTGGGTCGGAGGTGTGGGGGTGTGGCGGTCACCACGTGTGATGCTGCTGCTGCTGCTGCGTGGGCTGCGGGCCAGCGTGGTTGGCGGGCGAGGTGGGCGTGCTGTGCCCCTGTGCCCTCCCTCGCGCTGTCTCCCAGGCCTGACGTCGCTGCCCGTGGGCTCACTGCTGCCCCTGCCCCTGCCCTGGTGCAGTGCGGGCTGAGCACGCGCATCCTGGAGGTGCTGAAGAAGGGCGGCTTTGAGCAGCCGCTGTCCATCCAGGCGCAGGCGCTGCCAGGCGCGTGGCTGGGCTGCCGCGGCCGCTGCTCCCTGGCCGCCGCTCCCTGGCCTGCCTGCAGCCGTGCTCCAGGACTCGGCCTGCCGGCCTGGCACGGATCCTGCCACCACCCCTCCCCTGCTCTGCCGTGCCGTGTCTCACCTCGCGCCCTGTGCCCGCCTGCCTGCCTTCCCGCTCGCCCGCCTGCCCGCAGTCATCATGAGCGGCCGCGACTGCATCGGCATCGCCAAGACCGGCAGCGGCAAGACGCTGGCGTTTGTGCTGCCCATGATGCGCCACGTCAAGGACCAGCCGGCGCTGGCCAACGGGGACGGGCCCGTGGCTCTGGCCATGGCTCCCACACGGGAGCTGGTGACGCAGGCGAGCGTGCTGGGGTGGTGGTGGCTTATGGTGGGGTGTGCTGGAGCTGTAGCGGCGCGGCACGAGTGTGTGGCTGGCCGCCTGCTGCCGCCCGCTGGCTGCTCTGTGCCGTGCGCTGTGTGCTCAGCCGGCGCCACCTGCCTCCCCTGCAC